GGCCCTTAGGCCCTCTATCCCTGGTGCCTGAGCTTGGTATTTGGAACCCATTCCCTATGGTTTGGGATGCTTTGCTCAGCCTTAATGCAGGGGAGTGTGGAAGGGAGGCTTGGTCCTGCCTCATCTTAATGTGCCAGGCTTTGTTGACTCCCCATGGGAGGCCTTACCTATTTGAAGGAGTGGTTGGGGGTGAGTGGGTGGGGAGGAGAGGGAGCAGGAGGAGCGGTGGGAGGGGCAACTATGGTTGGTATATAAAATGAATAAAAATAAATTTAAAAAGCTCACTAAAACATTAAAATGACCATGTGAGATAATGAAGAAGGAAGGAAGGAAGGAAGGAAGGAAGGAAGGAAGGAAGGAAGGAAGGAAGGAAGGAAGGAAGAAAAGTTGGCTAGCAGCAAGACAAGCTAAGGCCAGGCATTCATAAGTAAGAATAAGCCTGCATGTATTTACTTGGGAGCTGGGAAGTAGGCCCCCCCAAAAGACTCAGGAGCAAACGAGTAAGACCCAGCAACAACTAAACAAAGGACACAAAAAACACTGAAATATTGTTACCGAGATGTCAGATGGTAGATCTGTGCCTGAATGATCAATATGCTTCAAGAAGGGCGGAGCTAACCTCATGTCTGAGCAGAAGCATAATTTCAGGCAGTTATGGCTGCAGCCCATTCTGGCGCATGATTTTCAGCCATGGCACTAATTAGTCACAGCAAGTACATACATGCACAGTGTGGGTTTGTCATCACAGGCAGTGAGTACCACAGTGTGGGTTTGTTATCACAGTTATGGCAGTGAGTACCATGATGTGGGTTTGTCATCACAGTCAAGGGCCATAAGTACAACAGTGTGGGGTTTGCCCATGCTCATCATGGAGAGAAAAACCAAACCTCCACTAGAGGGTAGTTGGAACAATGATGTTTCTTTCTTTTTTTCTCATCCAAATTCATGGTTACTGTGTTTGTTTGAAAGAAAACAGCCCCCAAGGGCAACGGCGGGTTAGAGAATGTAACCTTGTTTGCATACGTAGTTCGTTGGAGAAAGTATGCCACTGTGGAGGTGGCTTTGAGGTCTCCTATATTCTCAAATCTCACCCAGAGGGGCTACTTCCTCTTCTCTCTCTCACAAAGATGCCCTCCTTTGCACGGAAAGACTTGGATCAACAGAACTACATTGAGAAAGCCCCGTGTTTTCCTTCCATAACAAAAGGAGTCGATCTTTGTGTATATAAACCTCTACACAGGCCACGGTGTTTTGTGCACAAGCAAGGACGTAATGGAGCTCTCAGGAACGTGGCTCTATCTTTAAAACGGGCAACATGCCATCACTTCCAGTGGGCAGTGGGATGTGAAACACCGGGTCACCCTGCCCTTATGGCAGGTTTTCCCATACCCACATGTCTCTCTTGGCTGTGCAGTCACTTTTCAAGATAAAAGTCTGAGTCAGGGCCTTTACTTCTGCTTCCTTTACTTTGTGCTTCCTGATGCCTGTATCTCACTTTCTCTTACTTGTGCTTCCCCATAGGATGTTTGCCAGAGGGAAGACCAGGCTGCTTTCTGGAACACGACCACATTACCCCCTCCCAAATTAGACACTGAGCTCACCCAGGGCAGCTGTCGTGTCTGATGGCAACCCAGGCTACAGAAGCTTAATGAATGAATGATGGAACCCAGGTTACAAAGCTTAATGAATTAATGATGGCAACCCGGGCTTCAGAAACTTAATGAATGAATGATGGCAACCCGGGCTACAGAAACTTAATGAATGAGTGATGGAAACCCAGGCTACAAAAGCGAATGAATGAATGAATGATGGAACCCGGGCTATAAGAAGCTTAATGAATGAATGGCGGCAATCCAGGCTACAGACGCTTGATGAATGAATACCAATCTCAGAATGATGATGGCGCGCTCCAGACTGCACTAACTAGCACAGCACAGATAGATTAAATCCATCACTGATTGTAGGGCTGCGTACCCGGGGCCAGCAGCCTAGGCCAGGAACGTGGTTACCATCAGGAAGTGCTGCAGGTGTTCTGTGGGGACAGGAATGTGACAGTAGACTCTCAGGTTCTCCGTGCCTCCTAGGAGTCACCACTTCCCCCTCTTGCTTCCTTTGACTAACGTAGGGTTCAGAGGAGGGGACTCAGGGGGCCCCGAAGAGTGTCATGTGAGGGCGTGAGGAGTCATCCACAGGAGGAGAAAGCCAGAGGAAATGGGTGGATTTAGGACGTTTCGGGGCATTCACAGGGTACTGATCATGCATCTGGCTCCTTGGGTAGCCTAGGCTGGGAATAGCATCCTTGGGCCCAGGACAGGCAAGGAGGAAGAGATGCACAGGAGCCACAGCAAAAGGAAGCCTTGGAGGTTTTGTTTCTAGCCCCTCCCATTCCAGGTAAAGGAGGCCCCAGGTGAGCTGTTGGCCAGGTGCCTGTTATGACACTTAATATTCCCCTGGAAACAGTTCCTTGGAATTTCCCAGGAGCCTTTGGGTAACCATATAGCCCATGGGTGAGGGAGCCAATCTCCCACAGGAGGCCTGGAAGACTTGAATTGGAATTACAATACCTCTGCCTGTAATGGGGTGGAGATGTCTGTGCTGTGGATGCTGTGGCCATAAATGATGGTGGGCAGGGGCCAAGAGCCTCCTCCCTGGGCTTCACAATCAGATCTTCTGGTGAGGACTTTGGGGGACTTTTCTTCAAGAATTCTGGGGCTTGGAAGACCCTTAAGTAAAACCAGCACGGGGCCCTGTGGACAGTGTCTGTGATGCCAGCTTGATTGTGCTCCCCCAGAGTGCAGTCTCCGCCCCTTCCCAGGGCCCACTGCGGGTCTGGGTCTAACGTGAAGTGAGCAACACACTCCTGTCGCTGTGGCAACCTCTTACCCGGCTCTCAACCCTCTTAGACTTCCTATATCCCATGCCCCTGGCTGCCCCCTCTGGGACTGAGAGGCCTAAAAAGCTTTTCCCACCTTCTGCCAGGCACGCTGTGGAAGCGTAAAGAGCAGGCTTCAGGTGGTGCAGGCTGTAAGCCCCTGGTCTCCCTTAGAACGGTGGCTAGGGGTGGGGTGGGGGCGGGGAGAGAAGCGGGATCGCTCATAGATGCTGAAGCCAGGGTGGCTCGGGATGAACAGAGACACCACAGCATTTAGTCAAAGCCAAAGTTTGGCACCGCTGCCCCTCCCATGGCTCAAACCAGCACCCAGAAGGGACCCCCTGAACTGGAATCAAAGATCAAGAGTGTTGCAGGTGTACTGCCATTCATGAACCCCGCTGATGACAGCCACAGAGGGGTAGGAAGGGTGGGGAGGCGGCACATGGAGGCTAGCTGCTGTTAGTCTGCACCATCATCCTGCCCAGCTCAGTGTCACAAGGCGCCACATCTTTCCAGTCCTTTAGCAGACTTCCAGGGAGGAAGACAGGAGGCCAAAGAAGACAGCAATGAATTCTCTGTACCTCCAGCTCTGCTCTGCAGCCGTAGGGCCCTTGAGAGCATCTTCCTTCTCGGGCACCCTGCTGGACAGTCCCAGCTCCTTCCAGCTCTGGGCAAAGCCGTGCACCCTACTATCACCTGAGTCCCACGGGTTTTGAGTGGCTGACCCTCAGGTCACGCTTTAAAAGCAAGGGTTAAGGGGTTCTGTGTGCCCTTGTACATTGGGGGGGGGTACTGCCCTACACAGGGGGAGGGTCACAGAAGAAAACAAAACAGGCCTGTCTGTGGCCCCGGGAGAGAGGGGACCTGATCCAGTGACATCTCTGATGAGTGCTAAGGAGGCTGTGCAGATGACTGTGAACATCCCAGGTCTCAGGAGGGCTTCCTTGATGATGACAAGGTCTGTTTGAGCTGGAACCCAAAGCAGGGGACAGGCAAGGTTTGGGGCGCTGCATGTAAACAGAGTCTGGTGGCCAGAACGGTATGCTTTTGGCGGTTATCAAGGACGCAGGTCCAATGGCTGCTCTTCTCTGCTCATGACGGCCACTTTCTGTGTGGTCAAGCCTTCCCCATTCTTTGCCAGGTCCTGAAGCTAACTTTCAACAAAGTCCCTGGAAAGCTGGAAGCTGGTGCTTTCTGACACTTCCTTACTCCTCTGGCAGCCAGGATCTGACTATCTCGTACCTGAGCTTGGCTGCTCCCTGCTCCCAGATAAAACTGTTGTGGAACATCATCAGAAAGGACAGGGGGGGGGGGCTGGAGAGATGGATCAGTGGTTAAGAGCATTGCCTGCTCTTCCAAAGGTCCTGAGTTCAATTCCCAGCAACCACATGGTGGCTCACAACCATCTGTAATAAGGTCTGGTACCCTCTTCTGGCCTGCAGGCATACACACAGATAGACTATTGTATACATAATAAATAAATATTAAAAAAAAATTTTTTTAAAAAAAAGAAAGGACAGAGGGAAGAAGTAGGTCCCTGACCCTGTCCTTGGCTCCGTGGTGTGGCAGAAGCCTGGACCATGCNGCATGGGCCCCATGGGCAGGGGAAATAGATAAGATCTGAGGAGTGGGTGGGGAGTTGGGTGGCAGAAGGTGGCAGGAGCAGCAGGAGAGGGGATATATAATGTTTTTAAAGATTTTTTTACATGTATGTATATCTGTGTGTGGGTGTGTGCATGTGGATGCAGGTACCAGAGGAGGCCAGAAGAGGGCATCAGAGGCTGGGGCTAGAGGCTTGGGTGCTGGGTTCCAAACTTGGGTCCTCTGAAAGAACCAGCATGCGCTTTTAACCCCTGAGCCATCTCTCCAGCCCCCAAACTACGTTTCTTTGTAAAGACAAGGTGTCAATCTGCTGTGCAGGTTGGTCTCAAACTAATGAATTCAAGTGATTTTTGTGTCTCAGCCTCTCACGCCAGGAAGACTACAGGTACACAGCCCTAAGTAGCATCCCCTTAAATACCACTTCTTGTCCCTGACAAGAAGATGACATTACAGAATCTTTCTCCATGCAAGGAGTATGGAGATGCCATAGACTTACATAGGTTTTCTTCCCCAGCGACCACCATGACCCCCAGAACAAACGGGACCATTCTTCAGGAGTTCTAAGAAGAAAGGGAGTGCAAGGACAAAGCCTCCTGCCCAGTGTCCAGGGACTGAGCCTGCCAGTGTCTCTATACACACACACATATACACACATGGCCATGTCACCACCATCAGAGCCTTGCGGGACTCATCAGGGACCCACTTCTGAGACTACCAGACCATGGAGTCACTGAGCATGCGTAGTCCCCTTCTTCCCTACTTATAAGTGTGGAGGGATCCTGCCACTGCACGCTCATTCCTTTGCGCTTCGTCGGACATTGAGCAGTCGATAGCCAGAGAGCAGCTCCAAGCTGGATCTACGCCCACCAGGCAGAACAGGCAGCCGCTGGACCAGGCTTCAGTGCTGAGGACGGAGTAGAGCTGGAACTCTGTGGACCAGTCCTGGAGCCGTCCATGCCCTTAACTTCTCTGAGAGTCTTACCATGGACTCTCCTTCAGGGCCCAGAGTCCCACCAGGCTTAACGCAGGATCCCAGCTTTACAGCCAGCACTGTCCTGCACAGCCATTGGAACAGCACTCAGATTGTCTCCACAAGAGCCCAGCTTCCGTCTGTGAGTCCCACAGTAAGTTCAGGGAGTGTGTGTGTGTGTGTGTGTGTGTGTGCAGAGACGCAAGTTCCCAGCCCTGCCTCCCACCCCCACTTTGACAGGAGAGAGAAAAGGTCTGAGCTTAAGATAAAAGACCTGGGATATCACTGAACTTCTCTGAGCTTTCCCTACAAATTGGCTGAGAAAAGAGGGTGTGGGCGATGTCTTCATCTGCAGAGATGGTGGAAGGACCAGAAAGGCAGGCACTGGTGCCATTTATTCTTTCTAGATGCCCTGTGGAAGATGCCCTATAGGAAGGAGGCATGCCCAGACTTTTGATTTATACAGGCCCGAGTGGGATATTGGTCAGGACAAAGAGCAGACCATTCCCTCTCCCTGGGAGATATTCTTCTCAGTCCCCATATACTAACCTCCCAGGACAAGGACCTCTTAGCAGGGACCCCTGAGGAGCCTAAGTTTTCTTTCTAGTGGAAAGTTTTTCTCCCTCTTTGTCAGGCTTCAATGTCAATCCTCAGTTATGTTATAGGGGTTTCAAGTCCTCCCTTGAGGCTTGCGATGGGGTGTCTGTCCCTACACTGGGAGGTCAGTGCCCAGGAGCAGGCTGTACTTAAGGTCACCCGAGCCATGTCCCTGCTCTGCAGGCCCCCATCTGTTTTGCCAACTGCCAGCAGGTGACCTAAGCCTTGCATTTAGGAGCCCAGCACCTGCAGGCATATGGGGCTTGGGGTTTTTTTTGGAAGACCTGGACTTTCTCCTACAGCTTGGTCATAGCTTTTCATCTGGACCTGAGCTTCCCCCTCTTGCCTTATTAGGAACTTACTCTTCCTTGCCAGGAGCATCTGTAGGTGATGCCCTCCTTTTACTCTCTCCACAGGCATCCGGACCTGAGGCTGCTGCTTGGGTCCCCTTCCCCACAGTCGATGTCCCAGACCATGCTCACTATACCCTGGGTACGGTGATCCTGCTGGTGGGGCTCACAGGGACGCTGGGCAATCTCACAGTCATCTACACCTTCTGCAGGTGCCTGGTTGGTGGGGCTGGGTCAAGGGCACTATGTTTATCTAGTCATGCAAATAGGGCAGAATACAATTCTTCCCAGGGCAAGTTAGGATGGGCAGAGAAGCAAGGACCATGCCTTCTCTCATAGCAGGTCTAGGCGTCAACTTTCAAGCTGGTGAAAATGGGAAAAAATAGTAGGGAACCTTGAATAACACACACATGCCCACTGGGCTTCAGGCGTACCATGAGGCAGGAAGGTACTCTAGGACCTTTAGGTCCCTGCTCATTCTACCCTGCTCTAAGTTCACCTCTGCCATCCTCTGCTCCCAGAGGAATCCTCCCTCGGCCTTGAAAAGCTTCCCGGGACACCAGGATCCTCTAACTCCCAGCATCCAGTTCTATTAGCCACCCTTGCACCCCTCCCCTTTGTCCTGCTGGTTAAAGCAGGCAGGCTAGAAAGTTAACACAGACCTCAGACTCCATCACAGACCAGTGGAAGGACTCAGCCAGCCATTTGTTCTCCCTGAGCCCCCATGTCTTCTCTGCAACACAGAACTGTGGCTTCCCCAGCACTGTGATTTCTCCTGTTTGTGCATTGATTGGAAAACGAACCCTGGCTTTGCAATTTCCTGAGCTGTGATGGGGACCAAATCCTTAGTACTCTCCTCTGGAAAGGGGGACCATCATGTCTCCCTTAGGAGCAAATCTGAAAATGAATTGTGCTCGAGGAGGGTTGTGACGGTATCTGCCCCATGGAGGAGGGTTGTGAAGGTATCTGCCCCATGGAGGAGGGTTGTGAAGGTATCTGTCCCTTGGTCAGAGTCATAGGTCTTGGGCTCTTTGCCACCTCAAGAGTGAACAGTGAAGGAGCAGGCTGAGCGGGGTAGTGCCAAACTGGGCAGCAGAAGGAGGAAGAGGAGAAAGAAGGAGAAAGGGAAGAAGAGAAGGAGGAGGCCAAGAAGATAGTAAGAAGGTGTCAGAGCAAGTGGGAAGGGTAGTCAAGGACACTGTTGGGACACTGGGGCCAGAGGATTGTCCAAGGAGACAGAGGGAGTCACACAGAGGGAATAATCCTGGGGGTGAGAAGAAGAAAGGGGTATGACCAAGAGCCAGCCTTCTGGTCTGCACCGCTGTTTCTGGAGACACTGTTCCTCACTTCACTCTGAGCTAGTCAATATTACTGGTGACACCTGCTTGACTGAGAGACACATCTTTGGTCCAAGAGCCCCAGCCAATGTCTTTTAATGTGTGTAGGGTTGTATGTGCGTGCACAACATGGTTGTGTCCCCATGGACATTTAAGCATATTAGCATGAGTGTGCATGCATATATGCATGAATAGCTGAGGGTGAGGGAAGACCTCCATAGCTCCAGAGGGACTGCGAAGCATGCCCTGCCTTCCTCTGACCTCACAGGAGCAGAGGCCTGCGGACACCGGCAAACATGTTCATTATCAACCTCGCCGTCAGCGACTTCTTCATGTCGTTCACGCAGGCCCCGGTCTTCTTCGCCAGCAGCCTCTATAAGAAGTGGCTCTTTGGGGAGACAGGTAGACACTCGGGTTTTTGTTTTGTTTTGCTTTTGCAATAGGGAGAAAGGGGTCTTAACAGGGAGGTGCCACGGCAGTGGAAGGAGGCACAGAAGAAGTGGTTTGCTCTTGCTGGGCACAGCGGGCAGCACCCTGAGTTCTGTGACTGGGTGAAGAGGAAGGTGGGATTCTGGTCTTGAGATCCCTGCCAGCCTGGCCAGACGTAGCAAGCCAGCAGGGTAGAAATGGTTCGGTCCTGTCTTCTGGGAGGCAAGGAAGAAACTGAGTTTGTTCCATCCTCTGGGAATTTCTTCCCAGGGCCTTAGGGAAGTTGGTCTACCCACAGGTTGCGAGTTCTATGCCTTCTGTGGGGCTGTCTTTGGCATCACGTCCATGATCACCCTGACAGCCATAGCCCTGGACCGCTATCTGGTGATCACACGTCCACTGGCCACCATCGGGATGGGATCCAAAAGACGGACGGCCCTTGTCTTGCTGGGTGTCTGGCTCTATGCTCTGGCTTGGAGCCTGCCGCCCTTCTTCGGCTGGAGTAAGTGGGCTGGTGCTATTGGGGTGAGGGGCAGATGGCCTGAGAGAGGAAGTTTAAAGGAAGTTTGGGTTGGCCAGCCAGCAGAGGGCCTCATGGATCACTAAGTCTCCAGTCAGGTGGGAATTCAGGGGCACCTGCCATCACTGGGGGAAGCTCAAAGTGCTTTATCAGGGACTAAGGGATCAGTCAGGGAGCCTGTCACCAAATATGGGAGCTAGTGGGTGGGGACAGAGATACATGTTTAGTGCTGGCTTTGTAGTGAGTCGGACCAGCCAGAGGCCTCAGCAGGCAGGACAAGCAGCAAGGCTTTGGCCCTGAGGATCATGACCCTGGACCCATAGAGGGGCTAGCTCCAGTCAATGCTAGCCTGGTGTCCCCGCTAGAATCAACGTGGGAGTCTCTCCTCACATCTCTCAACTGCCTCTGGCTTTCTCAGTTCTGGGCAGGGTAGGCCTATGGCTGGGGCCAGGTTGTATTTAGGAATCCCAGGCTCCACATTTGAAGCCCCTACTGAACAAGGCGCCTTGAGCAGCAGCACAGTGAAGGCTGAGCCCCTGCCCCGGCTCTCAGGTGCCTATGTGCCCGAGGGGCTGCTGACGTCCTGCTCCTGGGACTACATGACCTTCACACCCCGGGTGCGTGCCTACACGATGCTGCTCTTCTGCTTCGTGTTCTTCCTCCCCCTGCTCGTCATCATCTGCTGCTACATCTCCATCTTCAGGGCCATCCGGGAAACAGGCCGGTGAGTGTGCTGTGTGGAGCTGGACCACAGACGGTAGGGTCCCCCCATCATCCCCCCCATCAGAACATACTCAGATGCTCAGATGCGGGTGGATTAAGACCAGTGAACTCCTGTGCTTGTGGGATGAGGGCACCCAGGAAAGTCCCCAGAGACAAGATCCCCTGAGGAGGGCTCAAAGACCTCAGTCCTGGCAGCAGGAGGGCCCGTGAGGCTCAGAGAAAGGACCTTCTGGAAGTCAGAGCTGCCCGTGTAGGAAAGGATGGCCCCTCCTATATGTCCCCAGTAGCTGTGACCCTGGTACTTGCTACAACCAAGATGCAACCTCCCTAGGGCCTGTGAGGGCTGCGGCGAGTCCCCTCGACGGCGGCGGCAGTGGCGTCGACTGCAGAGTGAGTGGAAGATGGCCAAGGTGGCACTGATTGTCATCCTCCTCTTTGTGCTCTCCTGGGCTCCCTACTCTACTGTGGCCCTGGTGGCCTTTGCTGGGTGAGCAGGAGCCATAGCACTGGTCTAAGGGATTAGGGCACAGGTCCAGGTAGCCTCTCTCTCTAGCCTGACTCAAACCAGCCATCCTGACACCCTAGGTCTAGCTTGACAGCCTTACCCTCCCCAAGCGACACACCTCTCCCTACAAGGCTTATCCAGTTCCTGGAAGCCTTGGGGATATATTGAGGGAGCCCTGGCTAAACGCAGATAGATGTCTGGGGACTTTCCACCTCCTTGGAAACATGCAGATATTTCTGAGGTTCAGGTGCCTTCTTAGCCCGAGCCATAGGCGCACAATCAGAGCTGCTGCTACTCAAGAATGGACCTCTAAAGAGGTTCTCTCTAGTACCTTCTGTGGCTTGAGTCCAGTAACCATGGTACCTTCAGCAGGACGGGCATGGACTAGATTTCCAGAGTACTTTGTGAGGATGAGATTTTGGTACTTTGAGCTATTTGGGTACCAATCTTCTCGAGTAGTAACAATGCAGTCTCCTTCAGGGGCCTACCGGAAGTTTCTCTAGGACATCCAAGGGGACAGTGTACAAGATGGGGTAGGGGTTTAGCAGCATTTCTGCATGAGAGGATCTGAAGACCAGGGACAATTGAGTGACATAGAGAGGTATTGTGGACTCCACAGATTCTAAGGGACAGTGGGACCTAGCCATTGCAGGTGTGACGTATCTTATTCCCAGAACCTCACCCTCCACCATCTTTAGCTTCCTTCCTACCCACTTTAAACCAGAATCCTCACTGGCACTGCCAGTCTCTCACATGGGGCTGGTTTGGCTATGTTGGTTTAGGCTGGATGGCATGGTTTGGTCTGGGTCTGAGCAGAGTCAGCCACGGAGACCACCGCGGGTATGAATTAGGGGACCCCACACCTTCTCTGTCCTAGGTACTCACACATCCTGACGCCCTACATGAGCTCAGTGCCAGCTGTCATCGCCAAGGCTTCTGCCATCCACAACCCCATTGTTTATGCCATCGCTCACCCCAAGTACAGGTGAGGCCTCCTCCGGCCTTCAGGTCCACCTAGGGGCATGGAGGGCCTGAGCCTACAGAAGGTAGAGGTTATCTGTCTCTCTGATTTCTTATATGTGTATCAGTTGGGGGTGGGGAGTACGAACATCTTGGTGCAGCTAGCGCAGCTGCAAAGGGTCTGCAGCATGCTTCCCTCTTTCCCCCATATATTACAAGCTATCAATTGCTATCTGCGTGGAAGCCATTTTTAACTACAGCGCTAGGTCATAAGGCAGCCAGGGCAGACCCATTAGCGGTACTTCCTATGCAAAGGCGAGCTCCCAGGCTGTGACATCCTGCAAAGACCCCAGCAGGACACGCTTGCTTCCACCAAGGTCCCTGGCAGCACGCTGAGGTAATGAGGTTCCAGCCCCACTAAGAATGACAGCAAAGCACTGCCGTGGGCCCTCAGAGTTGTTTTCAGTCTGGTGATGTCAAACCCTTGTTAATCTCCTGATGCAAATCTCAGTCCATCCCGCCCATAGTACTTAGGTGTATCCACGGTGCCCATTCCCAGAGATGTGGCCTAGGGCAACCATGTTAGGATCTGAGGGGACGTCTGGTTGCTTGAACCCAGTACCCAAGGCTCTCCTTCTGTGCATACCACTCCCTGGTTCTTTTGTTAATCCCACCAACCCTGGGCATGTGTGAGTCGCTTTCACCTTTCTGTCTGTCTATCCCCATTACCAGCCTCTGTCTGTCCATTACTTGTATCAGTGTGTCCTTTCCTTTCCCCATTCATGACCCTTGGCTCTAACAAGTTACGTGACTCCTGCAGGGCAGCCATTGCCCAGCACCTGCCCTGCCTTGGCGTGCTTCTTGGAGTGCCAGGCCAGCGCAGCCACCCCTCCCTTAGCTACCGCTCTACCCATCGCTCCACACTGAGCAGCCAGTCCTCTGACCTCAGCTGGATCTCTGGACGGAAGCGGCAAGAGTCCCTGGGTTCTGAGAGTGAGGTGGTAAGGATGCTGGGCCCTCATCGGCTGGGACCTCACCTTTCCTTTTCCAACCAGACCACATATTAGACTGGGGGACACGTCACCTCTTCTAACCTCTGGTACAGCACCCTCTGTTTCAACCAGGAATACCCAGAGAGGAGATGGGCTGTCAGAAGTCACCCAGCAGTAGTCCAGTCTAAACATGGGCTTTCTAAGTCACCTCTTTCCCCATGGCAAGAGCTGACACAGGGTCCTGGTTCCTTAGCACTAAACCACCACCTTACAGGAGGTGTGAAGAGCTACATGGTGCAGGAAAGGGGGAAGTACTAGCCTGGGATCAGACCTGGTTTCAGGCCCTGATCCACCCCATCCCCACTGTGTGATCTGAGAGCCAGCGTGGCTGGACTACCCAGCTGTCTTCCACTGCTTTATCCTTGAGGCCTTCTGTTAAGCTGCAGAGCTTCCTGGGCTCTCTAAGCCATTAGTAGAAAATGGGGAGTCTGTCTTATTTGCTAACAGAGGCCTTGACTCTCATGAAGGCCACCTATCTATATACATGCTTAAGCAGACAAATACTGCCAACACCAGTAGGTACTTTCCTGGGCTTTGGTGACAACTTTGCAAATGATGTCATGGGTCCCCCTCAATGAACGCTGGTGCTGGAGCAGGAGGAGGTGTGAGCATGCTCTAAATAAGTTGTCCCTCTCACCTCAAAGTTGCTCTCCCACCTCCCCAGGGCTGGCCAGACACAGAAGCAGCGGCGGTGTGGGAGGCTGGCCAGCACACAAGTGGAAAATCTTTCTGCAGTCAAGACCTGGAAGATGGGGAAGCCAGGGCTCCTTCCAGCCTCCAGGTACCTGTCAGTCTGTGAAGGGGTAGGGAGCCAGGGCAGGTAGCCTATGAAGTGGCCAGAAAGGTAGGCTTGTGGTGTGACCAGGACTCTCAGAATCACCTCCTTCCCATACATCCCTGCTTTGCCTTACCCACTTGGAGGGCTCTGTGATTCCCAGTCATCCCTAGCAGGGCCTGAGCGTGGTCTATTACTGGGGGAGCATCCGCATGTGACTGCGTGACCATGTGTGCATGGCGTGCGGTTGGCTGTGTTGTGCCGTGACAGGTGGGGAGTTATAATCGTATGTGCTCATGAGGACATGCCGTCTGTGTCAGAGAACGGCTCGTGCATGTGTGGACCGAGTTCCTGGCATATGCTGCCTGCCACTGTGATGCCTCTGTGTTGTATGGGCGATGGGGTGTAGATGGCATTCACCTTTCTAGATGATTCTGATGCTGGACATACCCAGGGGAGGGGGCTGCAAGCTGTGTCAGTGCCCACTGCCAATGCCCCGAGCTCACCGTGTCACCCAGAACACTTGTAGCTATAAAAAAGAAGGCCAGCTGTCAGCCCCAGTGCCTATGGAAGGGAATGCTGATGGTGTTAGAGAAGGCCGTATTTTGGAACACTGGAAATGCCATGAGCACAGGCGCCGAGGCAGGCCCTCCCCCTACCCTCACCATAGCCCCTATCAGCCGCTAGGTATTCTGGGCTTCCTTAGCCACTCCAGGATCACAGGCTTCTCTGGTCTTCTGTCCGTATGCTGTTTCCCTATGAATAGCCTGCCGCTGCCTCTGCAATAGGGGAGTTCCTGCCCCCTACGTTGTATCCCAGGCACTACGCACAACCACAGAGGCCAGAGTCAAAGCCTGGTAGTGGCCTATGAAGATCAGGAAATGGCTGAAGACAATAGCTCTCCTGGATAGAGGCAGGACCATGGGGAGGGGCTTTTCGCACTGAGGGTCAGCCATCAACCTTTGCCAAACACAAGTGATAAACACTGACATCAAGTCACAAGCACACAGAGGTAACTCCCTGGGTTTCCCTAGGGGAAGGGGCTGAGCTGTCTGTGTGAACATCCTAAGTGAGTACAGTGGAGTGCAGGAGAAGGAACTTGGTGTCCTGCAACAGTGTGTGTGTGTGTGTGTTTGAGGGAGACAGAGACAGACAGAGAGAGAGACTGACTTTGGGAGTATTCAGAGAGACCCTGGAGACAACATTGGGGATGTAGAAAGGAAGAGGGGCAGGTGGTAGGAGTGGTTAACTGTGTAGGGGTCTCCAGACCCTGGGGAACAAGGATGCAGAAAGGGGTTTAGTCACCTTTGCAGTATGGCCGAGGTTCATCTGATGTGCCCCCAGGGAGGTTTTGGTGGGCACAGTAAGCCTGTGAGGTGTACTTCCTGAGGAAGCTGGTGCTACAAGGCAGGAGGAGGATGAGTGATTTAGGGCAGCAAGGATAAAGGGGGGTGCCAGCCCTCACACATGTGCGGGATTGCAGAAAAAAGATGAACTGGAGAGGGGGCATAAGAGTTTGAACCTCAGGCATCTATGAGCCTGAGAAAATCCCAGGGGTTATCCTGCAAACACCCTAAGATTTTGCTGGCTCCTTCTTTTAGGTATAGTCCTTGAGAAGGTTCACTTGCAACCTTGACCACAGCCTGGCCCTTCTACACAGTTGCCTTCACCTGTTGGTGTTCTCAGATGTGAAGAGGGATTGGAAGGCTGCCTAGAGACAAACAGATGTGTATTGTTTATTTTCAGACCAAGAGACAGCTCCCCAGCCTGGACCTCGGGATGTAGGATGCCCACCGGCCCTCCCTTCCTTCTGCTACGTGCTGAGCCCCATCACCTCCCCACCACATGCACAGACCCTGGATTATCCCCCAAGCCGGGAAGCTTTGGTGGTGTCACTGTCTCCTGTGCTACACTGGACTCAGCTCTGGCCCCTTCCCACACCGTAAAATTCCTGTTCCAAAGCGTGATCCTGCCTCCTCGGTGCAGCTGGCACACCTGGGCTCTGCCCGAAGCATGGACCCAGGCTTTCTCTCCTGCTTCACTTCCAGCAGCCTCCGCCTCTCCTTAGACACTGTATGCTGTGATTGTCCAGGCGATGACAGTAGCAATGGCACCAGGGAACACGACGTTTATTTATGAGCTGAGCATCTTGGCTAGCCTTTGTGACCAGGCCGACATCTCACCGGTTCAGAAAGTTCAGCCTGGCGTCCCCTGCTGCCAGTAGTCAAAAGCTGAACATTTACTTTCTTGGCACACCTGAAACACTTCACCCCTAGCTCTCCCATAGCATGTCACACTGTGGTCCACACTCACACATACAGGGGCACTGGCAGGCACATCGGTACCTATCTGTATGTACACACGGAATACAGGTATGCACACCCTGCCCTTCCTGATCATTTTATGTCGGTGATCTAAGTTCCTTCCAGATGTGGATCTGACAGAGCACAGGAAAATAAAAAGCAGGGTTTCTTGTGGTAAACATGTCTACTGGTGCTTCCGTGGAGAAGAGACGAGGCCTGGTCTCCTTGCCTCCAGCAACTTCCTTTTCTGTTCCCTAAGGACTCTCACTCCTGAAAATCCATTTCAGCCTGGAGGGGAGCAAATTAGAGGAGGGATAAAGGTCAGTTTAGCCTATCCCCTCCTCCCCAGGGAGGTGTGGAGCTCTGCCCAGCCCATGAGTGCCAGCTGCTCTCCAACTGGCTTTGGGTCTCCCAGGGGAGGTAGAGGGAGGCTGGCCTTCCCCTTCAAAAGCATCTTCTCAGCCCACTCCCTTACCCAGAAGCAAGCCATCAAGCAGTGCCAGAGTCCAGAGAAAGAGCCTTCAGCTCCAGGTACAGCCTTACTGGGCCTCCAGGTCCAGGGTCAGCCTCGCTGGGCCTCCAGGTCCAGGGTCAGCCTCTCTGGGGCTCCAGGTCCAGGGTTAGCCTCTCTGGGGCTCAGGTCCAAAGTCAGCCTCACTGGGGTTCCAGTCAAGGGTAAGCCTTGTTGGGGCTCCAAGTCCAAAGTCAATCTTTCTTGGGGCTCCAAGGTCAGCCTCACTGGGGCTCTAGGTCCAGGGTCAGCCTCTCTGGGGCTCTAGGTCCAGGGTCAGCCCTTTCTTTATGGTTATGTGTGGCTGGATCTTCCCCAGCTGGGAAGGAAAGATAGGTCTGGGGGACAAGGATAGAGCTAGGGATATATGGGATAATGCAGAGAATGGGATGGGATGGGTTAGTGCAGAGATGTGAAGAGATGGGATGGGATGGGATGGGATGGGATGGGATGGGATGGGATGGAAAGGGATGGGATGGCATGGGTGGAATGGAATGGGAAGGGGAGAGAGACAGAGTTCTAACCTCCTAGCCCATGAAGGTGGAGTTGCATGGAACAAAAAGGAGGTGGTGAGACCAAGGGAAAGAGTACAAGTCCCCTCCCCCTGCCAGCTTCTCCCACCTGCTATTTTTGTGACCTTGAACCAATCACCAAGCAACCTGTAACATCAGTGATCTTATGCATCCCACATACGCCAGGCTGGGTGAGGGGAGCCTGGAGATGTAGCAACTAGGAAATTGCTCACATCCAGGCCTGCATCGAGTCCTCCAGGCGAGCGTCTTTGAGAGGGCCAGCAAGAGACCACACCACAACCTATCTTCCTCAGTTTCCTAAGCTGGGAGCCAGAGTGAACCTCTATCTCCAGACTCCATGAGATCTGAAGAGATCATGAGTCTCTCTTGGTGGAAGGCGGGCTTCTAGGACATCTTAACGCAAATGTCATGCTGACTGAAGCCCCAAGGGGCCAAGGCCCCCACCCAGGGCACTCTGTCTCTGGGGTGTAGGCTAAGGATGCCACACATGCTTCCTGCCCCTTCTGACTCTGTGTCCTAGCAGCTGAACAAATGGCACTTCTCCCCTACCCGCTGCCATTCCTGCGCAAAGGGCACGGAGCCTGGCGTGCAGCGCTGGCAGCTGTAGCTTTCCATGTTCCTGTCAAGTTTTCCAGGGCACAAATGAGACAGGCGAGCCAGGAATAACTGCCTGGGCCCCAGAGGGTCTACAGGGCTGGGACAACACCAGACCCAGCTTCAGACCTTTTCCCGAGGGGTCAAGCAGCACCCGCTACTCCAGGCCAGGGCTTTGGGTGATGTCCATAGCCACTAGGAGCCCATTATCAGACATGAGTACCATTTACAGGAGCCCAGGCGCCAATGGATCCTGTGTCCATTCCCTGTGTGACCTTGGAGGATGTGTTTAACTTCTCTGAACCTCAGCTCTTACAGTCCAAGGTAGCAGCCACTTAGGACCCCAAGGAAATGGTTGTGAAGAGCCCTTTTCTGAACTTGACCGTGTTCAAAGTACTGCCATGACATGGCCATTTTTATGTCTGGTCCTGTAACATCAAAGTGAGCTGGGAGCCAATCAGCAGTCTTCTGAACTGAAAGTTTTGCAGACCTGTGGAGTATAAGCCAAGTCCAAGGCCCCTCAGGGCCCCACAATGGATAAGGTGCCAACTCATGGTCCTTACCAGGAACAACAGACTAACAGAACCCCTACCCAGAAGAGAATCTAGATTGGACCCACCGACTAAAACAAGGGTGTGTGGGCTCCGCAGAGGGCACAAAGAGGGTCAGTCCTCCCTGCTTGCCCCTCAGGGATGGGTGTTCTGGGTGCCTGACACCCCTCCCCAGGGACTATATTAGCCATGTGAGTCATGGTGGACTGGCTGGGAGGCCACAGGCAGGCGGGCCGAGTGTAGGGTTACAGTCCATTTATGGGCGCAGCAAGGGCAGATATCAGTGTCGATGGCATTCTCTCCCAGCTATTCTTAGGAGCCTCCCAGGAGCTCTGCACAGCCTGGCCAGGCAGCAAGGGACACAGCAGGCAAGGCCAGGGGTCGGGGTCCTGCGACCAGGAACAGAGATAGGAGCAAAGAAATGGTCTGGAAAGGTGGGGTTCGTGCGTGTCCCCTAACCTGACTCTGTACGATTTGTCTGCAGAGGAAGCCGCTGCTGTCAACACCAGAATGTCTTACAGTGTGACTCTGACTGGGCCTGGGCCCTGGGGCTTCCGTCTTCAGGGAGGCAAGGACTTCAACATGCCCCTCACTATCTCCCGGGTAAGTGTACATTGTCCACAGCGTTATTTCCAAAGGGGCAGGGCATTCTTGGAAGGGGGCTCGTTCATGTCCATCTCTCTATCAGCCAGTCAGTCTGTCTTCCCTAAGGCTCTTGGAAAGCAGAGCCTGCCCTATTCCTGGTCTGAAGCCTAGGACTGGGCTGGTCTGATGTTGGCCATAGCTGAACTTGCTCACCCCAGCTTGTTCCCTGGACTTTGCCTGTCTAAGCGAGACGTTATGGGCAGATAGCTGGCATTTTGAGCAGAGGGGAAATGCTGATCTTGCAAAGGGGGTGGGCTTGTGAGCAGAGAATGTGGGGCCTTCTTAAGCCCTTCCCTAGCAGGGTAGGCTTGGGGTATTTCCAAGCTTCAAGTCCCTTCCTAAAAGCAGGCAGTTGCTAAGGAGAGAGCATTCTTAGCATAGGGAAGGCAGGCAACAGGTAGGTAGATGGACACATTTTTTTGCCAACTGCCCTGTTGTCATGATATAAGTCCAGGCTAGACTGGTTGCTGGGCTCTAGTGTCCCCAGACCCAAGACACCAGCCCCTCCTATCCCTGCCATAGTGGGCCTGGCAGAAACCTTACATCACCTGGCTCTTGGGTTAAACCTGTATTCCTCACTTGAGCCCAGGGATGCCTGTCTTACGGCTTTGCTTGGCTGCGACAATGCCCTCTGGGTCCTGCAGGATGTAGTGAGAAACAGCACTGCCCATGGGAATGGCACCAAGCATCAGGTGGTATGAGGGCGGTTCCATTGTGTAGGAGAAACTGAGGCCCAGAGATAAAAGGTAGACATATTTGAGAGGAAAAGTGGAAGGTCTTTAATTATTACTGTAGTCCAAGCCCCTAGGCCATAGCTGTTGCTATCTGCTCAGTATTTGTTAAATAGGGCACCCTATAAGTCCTGGTAGATCTGGGACTGAAGGTCCCATGGCTTAAGGGCTGAGAAGCATACAGGGAACAAGTATAACCTGCTTGGTGGCTGAGCCCCTGGCAGGACTGATCTGGGCTTAAGGGGAAGGGTGAGACTCCAGGATGTCACTGTGAAGTTAGAGGCTGGAATCTGGCATGGTTGGATTGCCGTTTCTTCCACAGAGCAGCAGAGGCTTGCCTTGGACCTGGGGCTAGCCCTCCGTGGTAGCTGAGAAGCCTGGAAAGTGCCTGACAGACGGGCAGGGCCCAGTACTTCCACTGAAGTGGTCTTGACCCTCAGACCACCTCCAAGTTAGACATTTAGAGTGGCCTTTGGGGAAGGACAAGGTCCCTCCCCTCTCAGCTGCAGATCTGAAGTCTCTGCCCTCCAGACCTACTGCCCTGAAAACCATGGGGCCCTTGCTAAGAGGACACCCTAAACCGTGTAGATTCTGCTTGACAATGCAGTGACGTCGGGATGAGAGTTCAGTGGTTACCCCCAACCCCAACCCCGGCTCTGCACAGTGCCCACTCCTGAAGCTATATGTTTCCTCCCTGTATAAGACAGGGCCTCTCGCATCGTCCTCGTGTGCCCGCTGGTCTCCTATGCCTAGGATTGAGCCCAACATCCCCAAGGCTCATTGCTGGTGCTCCCTGCTCCATCTAATGGGAACAAATTCATCTCCAGGATCAGTGGTACCCAGAAAAGCCAATGACCTCACTCAGGACCTATGTACCACCTGGCCCCAGATGGCCAGGGCTTAAATGGGAGCACAGAGGTTTTAAACTAGACAGCAGAAAGAATGTCCTCATTCAAAGAGAGGGCAGTTGGGGTGCACTGGAAGCTAAAGCTAGGGAGACATTTAAACATAGAAGCCAGGGCAATGGGAGATCAGCTCACTTCTGATCCACACCCCAAATCACCTGGAGCAAGTTGGCCTGAGCAATGGTGTTCAGGTATTGCAGTCTTCTGAGAAATACAACTAGTGCGCTACAGATACCATGGGTTTGGCATCCCAGGCTTGGGCATTTCAGGCCCAGTGCTGACTGCGAACGCTAGGCCTTTGGCATTTGCTGCCGCGGCTTACCTCCGGACCAGAAACAGTTTGCTCACAGAGACACAAGGCCAGGACTCTGCCCAGCTTCATCAGTCCCCTGCTCTGGGGACAGTCACTGCAACTGTGAGGGGTGATCAGGCGAGAAGTCTGGGGTTACCAACTCGGAGCCCAGCAAACTGAGGCTTGCACGGGATAGAGGTGCCCATGGGTAGCATGCACACATTCTGACACAGCCTAACTTTCATGCCTGCTCCTTTGCCTGTCAGTCTGGGCACTGGTGGAAGCTGGCCTCTCTCAAAAGCAGGTATGTGTTTCTCCCAGGAAGAGCAGCTGCCAACTGCATGCTGGGAGAAAGCTTGGATATCACCTTGCCTACGGCCTCCACACATACACTATGGTATCAACCTGAGCAGGAGATCTCCAAGACCCTCATTCGGTGAACTTAAGCCTGAGAATCTGCAGAGATGGGGTTCAGGAGGGACACCCTAGGGTGGAGGGCAAATGCCTTTATTTATCCTAGACAGGTGCAGAGGCCTGCAACCTGAGCTGGCCTCTCCCCTCCCCTCTCCCACCTTAGCCAATTCTCCAGGAAGCACAGTTGAGGGAGCAGATCAACAGGCCCAGTCCGTACCAGGGCCCCTGCCTCTGGCCAGATGCTGGAGCTAGGTGTGGTACCTTACCCCTTCATGGCTGTGGTATCCTCCGCCTTAGGAAGGAAGCAAATGTCTTTATTCAATTCTAACACAGCCTCAGTGGTCTCGCCTATGAAATGGGAAAATGCTGTCCGTGTGTGTGTGTGTGTGTGTGTGTGTGTGTGTGTGTGTGTGTGGAAAGGAGGCTGGCTATGAGGCTAGTGTGTGAGGGGGTTGTGGGCTGCGTCAGGTCTGCCTCCTTACTGGAAGGCCTCTGCTCTCAGGACCTCCATCCTACCTGGCAGGCTCGCCTGGGCCATAGTCCAGAAACCATCTGCCTCTCCTCCAGTTTCAGCGTCAGTATTACTTGACTCTCCCAGCTAAGGTGGGGACACCGAGAGCAGAGGACCCTTGGGAAGAGAACAGAGGACAGTCTGAAACTATTCTGGGGGTGGCTATGCTGGCGATTCCTGGAATTCCCAGGCCCCTGGAGCACGGTGTCTTGAGCTGTTCTCGGCAGCGCCTATCAGTGCTGACAGGCCAAGCTGTTTATAGCCCTGTTGAAGGTCAGGCAACCATCTAGCTAGCTACCCAGCAGCGAAGATAAGAAACTGTCCTAGCTGGAGACTGCATTCTTAGAGGCGCATCTCTCCAGATCCTCCTGAGACTCAGCCTCACCTCTGACCCCTCGAAGGTCCTGATGGCAGCAGACCAGAGGCCCACTAGGTCGTAGGAGGGGGCCCTTGTAGGTCCCTAAACCAGAACACGAGGCAAGGGCAAGTCTATGGGCAGACAGGAAGGGGGCAGATGCTGGATGGAGGCTATGAGGACAGCAGATACGAGAAGTATGTAGGCACCAGGGACAGAACAGGGGGAAATCCCCCAGTTGTGACGATCCTCCAGTCCTTACTTCCAGGCTTCCATTCCCAAACATGGCTTCTCCACTCTGCTGGAGCCAGATTCCTGCTTTCATGGGAACCACTTTTGGAAGCATGAAGCGGATTTTTCAGAGCTAAGTACACACAAGAACACTGCCAATTTGTTAGAGAAGCAGAAGAGGAACAGTGTTGGAACCTGGGGAAAAGAGAAGAAGACCTGCAAAACACACACACACACACAGCGGGGGGGGGGGGGGGGCTGAGGGGGTGAGGGGTGGGATGCAGAGGAGTGGGTACTGTGGCACAGGGGGGAAAGAGTTAAAACGAGAACTTCTGGGACAAGCAAAGCAGGGCGTAGCAGAGTCTGGCTTATTTATACGCCAGAGTTGGAATAGAAGCTGAAGCCACTAAGAGACAGAAGTTTCCAGAAAAAGGGCAAGAGCTGAAGCAAGACCCCAGTGGAGGCCAGATGGGAAAAGAGCCATCCTGGCACATGGTAGTTGAATCCCACAGAGTTAAAATGCACTTAAGACTTCAAGGGGAGTCCCTGCCAGACTTCAGAGAAGGGCCTGGGAAGGTTCCACTCCTTCTGGGCCTGTTACCTGCCCTTAGCCAGCCCCACCACACCTGGCAAGTCGCACAGAGAATGAGGGAAAGGTCTGCGTGCTTCTGAATATGGGGAGGAATGTTAGAAAGTTCTGTAGAGCCCGGCGACCCCAGAGAGGCCACCAGCTGTCCTCTCCACTTCCAGGGAGCTAGCGGGTCAGGAGGTCATGGCATGGGAACTTTCAGACCCTGCATGGCACTTTCTTTCCCTGGAACCCTGGACAGAATCCCTGCAACTCTGCCACACCCTTCTAGGAATAGCAGGCTCGCTCAGGACTAGTCATTGGGGCTGACCCCCTGCCTTCCACCTTCGGTCAACTCTGTCTTGTTTCTCATGGAACCCTGGGGTACAGCCATACTGGTCACATACCTGCTGTCCTCCAGTGTTATCCTTGACTTTTCTGGAGCTTTTAGGGAGAAGGGGGTTGGGACCAGAACTCAAGCCCCTTGAAGTGGAGATCCTTACATCACACCCTATTTAATGATGTAATCCTCATGAGGTGTCAGAGAAGAAGGCCTCGTCCTGTGCTCTGCACACTCACCGGATTGTGTGACGTTTCAAGCAAAGCTGCGTTAAGTTGATCCGTTCCATTGTCCACACACTTTCCTCTGTCGCCTTCCTCCTAGGCATGGCAGTGGTCATGATGTCAGCTGCCCTTGTACTGCCTCTGGAGAACAGGTTGTGCCTTGCTAATCAGATGTGTCCTCTTGGCCACCATGGCACTCATTTCTCTATTATCCTTGCCCGGATGACACATTTGAGGGTCTAGAAATGGAATATTCTGGGCACAAGGTGGGGGCAGTGTTTAAGAAGACTCCCAGGACTTCAGAGGTTGTTGAAGCAGTTGGCAAGGGAGGGCCCTTTGAGTCTTGTCATGACCCACGTGGTATAGGACAGTGCTTCTGGGACCAGTGATGTGGTATGGGGTCCCCTAGGGTCATGGCCCAGCAACCATGGGCCGAGTGGCTAATTCTGGCCCAGTTCGTCCTTGGTGCCCCACCTTGCGGCCCTTCTAGGCCCTACTTAGTGTTCAGATCCACAGTAAAACGTGATTGTTGGCTTCGAACAATAGAAAAACTAGGTGTAAACAAAACACCCATCCAGAGAGGACTTTAAATGCTCAAAGAGGTATAGAAAGACTTTTTATTTTGGAAGAAAATATCTCCAAGAATGTGTATGCTCTGAGTCTTTTCTAGGAGGAAGTTAACAGAGAAAGGAGGCTTTAAAGTTAGAGAAGAGATTTGCTGAAACTAAACCTTTTCATGAGCCCTGGGCTCTAGGCAATGGTCCGACAGTGCGGGTCCCCTCCCCCAGCCTGCTGAGGCTGCTCCTGTGCTGGAGGGAAGGGATCTGATGGTCCTTGTCTGTCTTTAGCATCCCTGCCTCCATCTGGCCTCCTTCTCTAAAAACACTGGAGCAGAAAAGAACATCTCCGTATATGCGACTACCCCACCCCCACTCAGGGGACTCTGGGCCCTGCTTAGGGCAGCCAAAGGCCAGGCCAGCTGAGCCCTGATGGGCAGACACAGATGCAGGGAGAGCGACGCCAGGGACAGGGGGATCCAGCTTGGTGGCTCCCTCTGGAATGTTTGGCTACTGACCAGGCCCCTGGAACAAGGATTACCCCCCAGCCCACGCCGGAGGATATCAGGGCCAGGCTCAAGGAAGGATAAGTACAAGTTGGCCATGCCCTAGGGAGAAATATGCCACCAGGCAGCTCTAAAGATATGGCATTCCTGATGGCCTGCAGCTGGCACTGGCTGATCAGGCCCAGCCTCCCTTGGATGTCATTCTGTTGCCCTTGCTTAGACTTTCATCGTGATCTGAGCACTCCTGGCAGTGTCTCTTCTGGCTGTGAAGCTCAGCCCTTCTGTGTGGGATTGGTAGCTGCTCCTCTGTGCCTTACCCCGAAGCTATTTGCTGCCGGGAACAAGTCCTTCTCTATAGATGGTTAGAAGCATTGGGGGAATCCTTCTGTAGAGATGTCCTGCGATGGAAAGAGAGCATTTTAGGGGATGACATACCACAGGGCAGCTTTACTAGGAGATATCTTTCCCTGGGGATGTCCTGCCACAGGGTAGCCAGTTCTGGGACGCAGGCAGTCCACAAGGAGAGCAGGGCACTGGAAACGTTACCCTGGGTGTTTCCATGTCTTTGAAGGGCTCCTACAGATGGCTTGGCGGATGGAGAGTGGGGAGAGTGATGTGGGATAAAGAGAAAGTGGGGACGTTATGGCTGGACAGTGATGAGGAGAATTGAAAGTTCATATTTTTTCATCTTAAAGATTGCTATAGGGAATTGTTAGAGATAGCACAGCCTTGCATGGAAAGGCAGGAGGACGGGTGTACTTTCTGCATAGCAGCAAGAAGCCTCTTGTCCAGAAAAGTATCTTGGTTTTTTCCTTGTTCTCTCTCTCTCTCTCTCTCTCTCTCTCTCTCTCTCTCTCTCTCTCTCTCTCTCTCTCTCTCTCCCGTGTGTGTGTGTGTGTGTGTGTGTGTGTGTGTGTATAGACAAGAAGATAACTTTGGGTATTGTACCTCAGAAGTCATTCACCTTGGTTTTTGAGAGTGGGTCTCTCATTGAACTGGGGCTCGCCTACTCAGATAGGCTGGCTGGTCATCAAGTCCTGGGGAAGTCTCTGCCTTCCCAGCACTGGGATTACAAGTGTACACTCTCCTGACACCTGTTTTTTAGCTGTGTGTCAGGGCTCGAACTCGGGTCTTTCTGCTTGTGCAGCGAACACTTAACAGCCCGAGCCACCTCCCCTGCCTCTGTCAGTACTTTTCACCTCTGCATTTAAGACAGCAACATGGGGACCCTGTGGTGATGGGATAGGAGATAAGGATGCTCCTACGATGCTCCTCTGGCAGCTGGAGAGTGGGCTTTGCAAATCAGATGTGCTTACTTGGACTTTCATTTCTCTGTAGTTCTTGCCTGGCAATTTGAGGTCCGGAAGGGGAATGTTCTGGGCACAAGGTGGGCAGTGTTTGAGAAGACACCTGGAGTGGGGTGTGGTGGCGCACGACTTTAATCCCAGCACTTGGGAGGCAGAGGCACGTGGATCTTGATGAGTTTGAGGCTAGCCTGGTCTACAATGTGAGTTTCAGGACAGCTGAGGTTTTACAGAGAAACCTTGTCCCACGGAGAAAAAAGAAAGAAAGAAGACACCAGGGACATCAAAGGTTTGTGAGCAGCAGTTGGCAAGGGAGGGCCCTTTCGGTGTTGTGGTCATGACCCCCAGGGTGTAGGACCAGCTCTGGGACCAGTGGCATGACCACAACAAAATGGTTCATCTTCTGGGCACAGTGACCGCAGGGCACCTTGATTTGTACACAGTTCCCTCTAAGGAACCTGGAAGGAGGCTTCCATCTATGCTCAGAGCTTGATCAGAGACCCACACAGGCTTGGCACACGGAACACAGGACTGTCCCTCAGGTCATCTGTGATTGCCTTCAGTGATGGCTCCTAGACCTTAACCCAAATCCAGATGCTGATTGTATTAATGGCTAGTCTTACTCCCGCATCATAGCCAGGAAGGTGGGTAGGATGTGGCCAGAGATGCCGAGAGAACTAGCAGGTAGGCACGTCAGAGGACAAAGCTCAGAGAAAGCCTCCAGCCATCTGGGCAATGGAGGGGGTGCTTACAGCCTCCTCTTTCCTGCGATGTCATTGATGATAAGGCCTGTGTCACATCCCACGTGGCATCATAGAGGGACTCCCTACTGTCACAGGATCAGCTCCTAAAATACATTTATGCGTAAGTACCGCACACTAACAGATAGTTCCACCCTGCTTGCCTTCTCAATCAGTAACCATTTATAATGGAAAAAAATGAACAGGTTCATGTGATATTCTCAGGGACTGAGACATTCCATTGGGAGTCATAGAAACTGAGGCTAATCTATAGTAACATCTCATGAGCTATGCTTCAGAGTAGGGCTGCTAATGTCCCTATGGCCGTTCCACTAAACCACTATAAATTCTGTCACTGGACCTTCTGGAACTTTACATCTCAGATGATAATTTGGTATCATGTATGATGCCCGCAAAAGTTCAGTGTGAGCTACCATAGCTTCCCAAGTAATAGAGGGTGTAACTTTCCCAACATCCCGTGAAGTGTCTTCAGATTGGAGTCTCAATGGCATCCTGTGTGGTCAAAGATGGAGTCTCTAGGCAAATATTTTTGGTGGACAGTGGGGCACAGGAATTAGGAACTAGCTTCATAATTATGTTTTTCCTTCCAGAGGTATGCAGGTAGCCAAAGAGCCATAAAAGCCTGCCACACTTCACGGCCTGCCCGGTTCTCACCCAAACAGGGCTGATGGCTCTGATGGTTTTCTGTGCACCTGTCCTCGGTAGCATAAAGCACCTGGTGCTTGGATGCTTTTGTGAGGGGGCATTTATGGCTGCACTTTGGTCTGACAATGCCTGGGGGCAGGGAGGTGCTAATTCCTACCCTCATCTCCACAACTTTGTGGGGTGCAGGGCTAATATGTTAATTGGTATAGTTCTCAACCATCAGTGGCCTAGCGCAGAGGTAATGTATTCCTCATTTAGAAACCTGACGTACCATCTCTGCTCCTGGTAGTGACTCTGGGGTCCAGGCCCCTTCCTGTCAACCACTTGGCTGTACTCCTCTTGAGCATATGCATTTAGTCAGTCAACAAGCACTATGCAGGATTCTATGATGGTTGCTGGGGAAAGACCTGGTGGTGGTATGTGTTCCTTCCACCAGTATTCCACTGGTCAAAGCTGGTCCCTTGATGGCTGTCAAAAAAGTCCTAGTGGTAGCCATGTAATGAAGAGGAAGCAGTCTTGGTGAGCAGCCAGGGCCAGTCATTGGGAATCAATGGCAGGATGGGTATCAGCTGGATACTACAGGCGATCCTTCCCTGACTCCCCTTCTTCTGCCGTTTTAACCAGATCACTCCCGGCAGCAAGGCAGCCCAGTCCCAGCTCAGCCAAGGCGACCTTGTGGTGGCCATTGATGGCGTCAACACGGACACCATGACCCACCTGGAGGCCCAGAACAAGATCAAATCGGCCAGTTACAACCTGAGCCTCACCCTGCAGAAGTAGGTGGAAGCCCTCCAGAGGAGGGGACGCAGCTTTGGTGTGGGCATGCGATGGGGACAAAAGAGAGATCGCCTTCAGCATTTGTGCAGTCTAGCCCTGTGCGGCAGAATCATGGGAAGGAGGGGCTAAAGTGATGGTCAAGCTGTTGTTGCCTCCCTTTAAGGAAGTGCTGAGTCAGAGAGCATGGCCACAGTGCCACAGGTACAGGGAGGGCTGGGCCCAGAAGGCCTGTGTCCTCCATCCTCAGGAAGCCCTACCCTCACCCCATGCAGAAGAGGCCTGTGGGTGCTGACAAGAATATTCCCGGGGCTATGACTCCTTACCCTGCTCAAGCCCAGGACCTCCTTTAGGCTTGACATGTACTCAGGCACTGTGACTCGACTGTCCAGCTCTGGGTCTCCCCCAGGAGCTCTTGACCAGGTGCAAATGTCCTCACTGAGTCTCGTTTCTGGTTTCTCTAGGTCCAAGCGTCCTATTGCCATCTCCACATCGGCACCTCCTATCCAGTCCCCGCTGCCAGTGATTCCTCACCAGAAGGTAGGTGCTCGGCCATGGTTCCTGAAGTGGAACTTGCCTGCCTGCCCTTGGCGCTGTCGACCCTCCTGAGAAGTGTTTGAGCCCGCCCCCCCTTACCTATGACACATCAAGTTGTGGAGATGCCTACCTGGGCCCAAGATACCATCCCAGGTCCAGCAGCCGCTGAGAAGAAACCGGTTTGGAAAACCATGTGCCGAGAAGAGGGCCAGCATTCTAGCTAAACAGCAGACAGGTGTCTGTCTCGAGGGCTCTGACTCTCACTGTCTGGGGACAGAGACTTGAGTTGCTGTTAGAGAGGCCCCAGCTTGAGCCAGTCACTCCAGGAGGCACCCCAGGTGTGAAGGGACCTTATCGGCCCTCAGGGTTTCTCCTGCGCACAGATTCTTCCGGTTTGCTAAGTGTCTATCCATCCCTCACAGCTACAGACCCCTCTGTCCACTAGGAAAGCTGGTTATAATCTCAGAGGCTAGCACAGAAGTGGAGGGGCCGCAAAGCCCTGGCCCCAGATCTGACCACTAGACCCAGAGTCCTTTCCAAATCCTCTTTAAAGCATCTGAACCCTGTGGGCCCATCTGAACTTGGGAAGGTTGGTCCAAGGGTCCAACCTAAACTTGGGAAGGCTGGTCCATGGGCCCAAGCTAAACTTGGGAAGGTTGGTCCAAGGGCCCCATCTATACTTGGAAAAGCCTACCTGTAGCTCCTCCACCCAGGTAGACTGACTCCAGTCTTTCCGATGAGAAGACTGGACAGCAGATGAGATAGGAAGAAGAGGCTCTCGGGAGTGGTGGAGGGGGATCATGGACTGGGGAGCTGGACAGAGGGCTGCTGGGAAAAACTGCTAGGGTAGACAAAGATGGACGAATAGCCCAGTTGCTTCCTTAGCCCTCTGTACCTCTACCCCAAAAGTCAGTCAGCCCTGGCTATGAAGGGTCTTCTCCAGGTGGGGTCAGTGAATCAGGAGGCTTGTCTGCACTCACGGGGTAACTACCTATCCAGAGGGAAAGGGGGCCAATAGACAGGAGAGTGGTACCTTACTCTCTCTTGAGCCCCACATCCTCAGGGGCAGACTTGGCTTTCTGCGAGGGACTTTGCGTTCTGTTCAGATGGATGCCAGCCTCCAGACCAGGACCCCCAGGCTTCCCTCCTCCCCTCCTCTTGCAAAGGGCCTTCCTTTCCAGTGCTCCGTCTAGGTACTTCACGCAGCAGGCAGCAGGTCACAGGCTGTGGGAGGTGGGTGACAGATGCTTACCCTAACATGTCTGTTTCAGATGCACACAGAAGCACAGCCATGCGTGGCCTCTAACCGCTATCTTCTCTCTCCCTGCATGGTGCTGCCCTATGCCAGGACCCTGCTCTGGACACGAACGGCAGCCTGGCGACTCCCAGCCCCAGCCCTGAGGCGAGGGCCAGCCCAGGCACCCTGGGCACCCTGGATTTCGGGGACACCTTTAGCTCCTCCTTCTCCCAGACCTCTGTCTGCACCCCACACATGGAGGCCCCGGAATCTGTCCTTCCTCAGGGCAGCCCAATGGCCAAAGCCAGCCCAGAGGGTGTACAGGGCTCAGTCAGCCCCAAAGTTCTGCCAAGCTCTAGCCAACCGAGGCAATATAACAACCCCATTGGCCTGTACTCAGCAGAGACACTGAGGGAGATGGCTCAGATGTATCAGATGGGCCTCCGAGGGAAGGCCTCAGGTGCTGGACTCCTTGGAGGGTAGGTAAAGGGCATCCTGCTGTCTGGTGTGGAGGCACTTGGGTCATCGGTGCTCACTACAACAGTCTGGTCAGGTGGTCAGGGGGAGGATAGGCCTCAACACAGGCAGCCTCGCACCCATGAGGTAGAACCCGCCGAGATCAACGCCAGCAGGGATCCTACTGATATTTGTTGTCAGCCAGGCATATTGCCGCTGCCAGGCATATCGCTGCTGCCAGGAAAACCACTCTGGAGTGACGTGTCAGGTTTTTGCAGAAATAGAAACTGAGGCTCAGAAAAGGTTAAGTTGCATGCAGGAGACTCTAACTCCCCAGATAGTCACCCCAGGCAACACCTCATCCCATGAGACGAAAATACCTACTGCCTTTGGGAACTAAAGTTCTAAAAAGAGAGACTAGTCCCCACACCCCTGGGTGTCTATGGCAGGAACAGGGAAGCGTTAGAGATAAGAAAGAAAGTTCTCAGCTGGGTGGTGGTGGTTCACACCTTTAATTCCAGCACTCAGGAGGTAGAGGCAGGCAGATCTCTGAGTTGGAGGCCAGCCTGGTCTACCGAGTGAGTTTCAGAACAGCCAAGACTACACAGAGAGACCCTGTCTCAAAAAAAAAAAAAAAGGCGGGGTGGGGGGAGGAGAAAGCAAGTTCTCTAATGATGAGGGCGGTCTAGGAAGGCTATGCGAAGGAAGCAGAGCTGGACGTACCCATGGAGAGACTGGGCAATGGTACGAGGGGAGGAGGCTTGCAAGACTGACCCAGGCTAGGGTGGACAACAAGGAAGCAGACCTCTGAGAAGAAAGAGATTATGGGAAACAACCCGCTCGGGTCCCCACAGTTTAGCTAGTAAGACTTCATGGGAGCAGGAGTTGAAGGAACATGGAGCCAGGTCACTGGAAGGATAGAAAGGAGGGATCCATGTGTGAGTTTGTATCGGCTGCCAGGCTCTCTCCCCTCCTGTCTCACAGTGGCTATGCCACTGCCCTGTGCAATTGAATGTACTCATCTTTAGGTGCTATAGGCACAGCCAGCTGAGTCAAGGCTGTGGGCCAATGTCTCGGTGAGAGAAATCTCGTGGTTGTCTGCAGTTAACGGGAGGATAAAGAAGGGCATTTGTCACACACTGCGTGTACTCATGGCCTAGACTCTCCTGGCTGACAGGAGCACCATCAGCGTGACCCCAGCCACGCCCTCCTTTGCTCGTCTGTGTCTACTAGACCAGAATGCTCTGGTTTCTCAACTTCCCCAGCTCCTTCTGGAATCTGAGCAAGGCCAGTCTCTAGCACACCATTGTTTCCCCAAGCCAAGGCTTTCCCAGCAAGAAAGCAGAAAATTATAGAAAGGCAGAATAAAGATGGCCTCATTTTCCTCCTCTGATGGGTAGGTCTTCCTGGTCCCTTCTGGACCCACCCCAGGCAAGAAAGTTGCCTTCTGGCTGACTAGGACCCCCAGAAAGCCCACTGGTAGTGGTGGCAATGTCTCCCTGGCTGAGCCGACTCTGAGCTGGGAACTGGCTCTTTTTTTATTAATTAATTTACTTTATGTGTATGGGTGTTTCACCTGCATGCATATCTAAGAGACTGATCCTCTAGGACTGGAGTTTCAGATTGTTGTGAGCTGCCAGGTGGGTGCTGGGTATTGAACCAAAATCCTTTGGAAGAGCAGTCAGTGCTCTTAACTGCCGAGCCATCTCTCCAGCCCCATAGGAACTTCAGAGGTGGACATTGATTTCCTTCATCTTAACAAGTCAGATAGAGTGTGAAATTGACCCCAGGTCACAGAGTCAGTAAGAGACAGACAGAACTAGTGGTCTGCCTGATTCCATCTTGATTTGAGATGGAACCAGAAAAGCTAAGCGGTCAGGAGCCCTGTCCGTGCCCCCTGGACTCCCAGGTGCCAGTCCTTTGATTCAGATGCTGTCCAGAACCTACTTGGCAAATGTAGAAATTATCACTTGGTAATTGGAGAAGTGGGAGCCAACAGCGTCCTCAGTGGGAAAGTGGACCAGAGGAGGAAGTTGACGTTGGTAATTCATTCAAAGTAAAGGCTGCTACAGTGTTGCGATGTGGGCAGAAAGAGCTGGGCCCTCTGCTGCCCTGAGGCTCCCACTTTGCTAAGTGTCTCACTGCTTGAAAGCAACAAATGGGCAGTTCTCCGTGCCTGTCTTCTGCATACGTCCCGTGCTGAAGGCTTAGACTCGGGGTACAATTACTTGGCTTTACCCATTCGCAAGGTGGAAACTCTCACTTCCTTCTTTTTTATACTTTTTTTTTAAATTTTATTTTTACGCGTGAGGGTTTTTGTCTGTATATCTGTATGTCTGTGCACCACCAGAAGAAGGTGTCAGATACCTAGCATTGGAGTTACAGATGGTCGTCAGCTGCCACTTGGGTGCTGAAAATCAAACTTGGGACCTCTGAAAGAGTAGCCGCTGCTCTTATCCCTGGAGTCGTCTTCTCCAGTGCCCCCACTTCCTTCTTATGCATTGAACTGAGATAGTGAAACTTGTCCAGAGTCGTAACGTTGAGAAGAGTCAAGGTTAGGAACTGACCCCTGTTCTGTCACGCTCCAAAAGGAAGCCCCTTCCTTACTCTCCTCTGAGCACTTTGTGGCGTGAGTCTTGACAACTGGATCTCTGGGGAGACATGGAGGGGGACCAGTGGAAAACAAGGACAGAAAGGCCTGAACAACCGGCAGGCTCCACTCCTCACCTGAAAGGCAGAGCAAGGGCCCCCAGCAGGCTCTGTATCCCTGGTGCCTCCTCCTGGGGCCTGAGTCCTGGCTCCTCTCTGAGCAGTGTGTGCTGCAGGCATCCAAGTGTTGGGATGGAGCAAGAACCTAGCAGGGGGTATTAGTGCCAAAGAAGGAGTTGGCTGCTGCTCAGGGCAGACGCAACCCCCACCCAGTCAGATCAACGCTGCCCTCTGCAGGGGACACTGGGCTGGCTGGTCATCACCAGAGCTGACCCTGCAGTTGTCAGTTATTGGCCAAACATGGCAAAGGCATGGCAAAGCCAAGGTGGCCTTTTCCTAATATAGATGCACTTGTGGCTATTTTGGAACCTGGGAGGACAGAAGGAATTTTATCAGCTCGGGGACAGTAAGGGACCCGGGCCCTGAGCAGATAACACCATGGACTCTCTGGGGTGGGAAGTTCTTGGCTTCCCAGAGCCCTGGTTGTGGGGTGACCAGGGTCAGGCTATCTGGGGTTAAGGGTCCCTTTTCCAGAGTTTGTAGTGGACAGATCTAGGGGAGCAGATGTGTATGGAGACAATGTCACCCCCCTCCCCACTCTCTCATCTTTAGTGTCCGACAGGGCCACAAGATCTGCTACCACAAGCAGTCTACAGTTAAGAAAAGCATCATACTGAGAATGCTTCCCCAGAGGAACTCATATTCCTAAAGGCTCATTGTCCTAGCAGAGTGAGGACAGGGTCCCTCTGTGCTGTCTGTGCTAGGTGGCCCCTGCTGGGGGCTTTCCTGCACGAGCCTTGGCCATGATCTTCTTTGGGGCCTCCTCCTGCCTCACTGCTGGCCCACAAGGCCTTTGGAGCAGTCACTGGGGACTGCATCAACCTCCTACTCCCTGTACTACGAGGAGTGACCAGGGATGCCTGTCTGTCCTTGGGAGAGAGACTAGGGCCCAGGGGCCATGGGTAACCCTGCTGCACATACAACAGCCCTGCAATGCCTCCTTGGGGGCATGAATGCCCATGTTGCCCCATGAACAGAGCTACGCTGTGGCTTTTCACATTTTGGGGCACCTCGCCAGAAGGAACTGGGAGCCTCGAGCCTTCTTGAAGTAGCCGCAGCAGTCATGTCTCTGTCTCCGCTTCCTCTCCAGGGTCTACAGTCAGGCTCTACCTATGTGATCCATGGATCTGCATATAGTCTTGAGTCCGACAAGAAATTCCTTCCCCTTGGCAAATCAGGAAGTGCTGGACTCACCATAAAGGGAGCCCTAGCACCTCCCACCCAAACCGATGGTTCTAGAGACCCCAATTCCTGACCTTGTGCTCTCGCCTTCCTCGCTTCTTACTCCTTGCAGACTGAGGCCTTGCTCCGGCCTCCTTCACGACCATTCTGAAGATGGTCCCTACATTCACACTTCCCCGGTCGAGGCCTCACTCTGACTGTACCATCTTCTTTGCTTTCTCTCTCCTTCCAGGTGGTAGCCAATTCTCCAGCCAAGTTAGTATCCAAGGCCAGCATGTGTATGTCTCTGTGTGCCTTTCCAGCATGCAGCTGCCTTCCGTTGGGTGTGGATGGCGTGTGCCTGTTGGCATGGGTACCTATGTGCATGTGTGAGCGGGGGTGCATTGTGCCCTGGATGTGCCTGCACGGGTGTTTGCTGGGGTGTGGAGGGAAGCCGTTTCACACGTCAGCAGCTTGAGGCTTGCAGGTTAATTCAGGTGTGTGGGGTGCTGCGCTGTCACTGGCCTGTGTGGCTCTGAAGACTTTTCCGTCCCAGTGGGACCCCTGAGAAGAACTCGGTGTGATTCTATCTCTGCTTGGGGATGGCACCTATCTGTTGAAGGGAAGAACCTGGATGGGTAGAGACTGGCAAGCTACAGCGTGCTGGACTTGGAGGCCTGGGCAGCCCGAGCCATCCTCCAAGGAAGAAGAAGCACATGCATGGAAGGATCTGGAAGAACGGAGTCCCGGGCCACAGAGGAATGACTGGCAGGATAAGCCCCTTCATGAAGGAACTTTGCTCAGAACCTCAGCATCTCCAAGCGTGCCAGTGTGACCGCTTTTCGCCTTTGGAACAGTCTAGACTCTGCTTGGGCTGCTGCCTCTTCGGTCACATGGCCCAGCTTCTGTCTTCTCCCCAAGTCCCGCTCCCCTAACCCCGCTTGTGTCTGCTTCTCCATCCCGCTGTGAGTGACGAGAATGCTGACCCTAGGGGGGAGTCGGGCTGCAGGGAAGCCTGATGGGAGTGGGAGAGCCCATTCAGGTGGACATGAAGATCTCCTGCAAGGGTCTTGGCAGGTGCCAAAAATTCTCCTGGGCACACCCAGGCAGCCCACAGTGGGGAACTTGGGGAACTTGCTTGGGTCAAGACCTCAGCTTTGGGAGATCTCTCTCCACATTCCCACCAGCACCCTGGCCTTGACTTCCCATGTAACCATCGCCTGTTGCCCTCTCTCTTCCCCTTCCCTCTTCCGCCCCCCCCCCTTTCCTGCCTGCCCTCCTCAGCGCCGACTACCAGGAACGCTTCAATCCCAACGCCCTGAAGGACTCAGCCCTGTCCACCCACAAGCCCATTGAGGTGAAGGGTTTGGGCGGCAAGGCTACCATCATCCACGCACAGTACAACACCCCAATCAGCATGTACTCGCAGGATGCCATCATGGACGCCATCGCTGGGCAGGCCCAGGCCCAGGGCAGTGACTTCAGTGGGTAAGCGCCTCCCAACATCACATGACTGTGGAGGCTACCAAACACTAGCAGGACCAGCTTTCTTCTCTCACCTAGCGCCTCCCGGGTTCAGGCCCCTGGAGGGGATGGACCAGCCTTCACCAGGGACTTCCAGAATGTGTTGCCTTTTCTCTCTTCAGAGTCAGCCCTGCATTGGGCTGTAGGAGAAACGGCAAAATGTAGAACGTTGTGCTTCCTCAAAGGGATTGTCAGACTCAGTTTCCCAGGCTTTATGAGAGGTGCTGGTTAGAGACTTTGGGGGTGCTTCCGCTCCAGCTTCAGCAGAGCACGGGAGCCTCCCCGCACCTCTCATAACTAAAGCTGTACTGGGGAAGTGGGGGAAAGTGTCTTATTCTAGTGATGAGCATCAATCCAGCACTTGGTGCGTTTGTTCTTGGGAGAGGTCTTGGGTCAGCTATCCAAGGTGCCATTGGCCGTCAACCTCTGTCTCTCCTCCTCTTTGCCCCAGGAAGCCTGGCTTCAGAGCAGTAGGGTTTAAAATGACCTTGGCACCTGGGATTGGTCTATTAGCTTGGTTGGGTAACTCGAGGGTGGACTAGCGACAGAGTTGGTAGAAACTCGGACGAAACTGGTACTATTCAAGTATTAACAGATGAGCCATCCTCTCCTGTCTTCTCCTCACCCCCATTTCTGTCTCATCCTTGTCTCTTTCTCTCTATCTCTCATCTCCTCTCTGTATCTCTGTCTTTTTTCTGTCTTCCTCTCTATTGTTTCTTGCTTGTATCTGTCTCTCTCATCTGTTTTCTAACACACACACACACACACACACACACACACGAATGCATGCACATGCACACACAGGGATATAAGGGGGTAGTGGGGCAAGTCATTACTTTTTTCTGCTGGGGAATGTCATAGTGCAGAGCTTACCTCTCTAGGCAACATATTATCATCCCTGGATCAGAGATTCCCAGAAACTCAGGAGAAAAAAGTCTATGGGAACATTAAACCTTTTTCTGAAACAATAAGAACAGATACTATTTGAGGGACACATAAACGTCCCAGGCATTTCTTATGGGACAAGGACAAGTGCTTGTGACCATGGTGTACTTACAGAGGCCAGAGGATAAGGTTACATGTCCTGAGCTCCATTTCTGGAGAACCTGACTTCGGCTCAGAGAGGCACTACTCCCTGTCGACCACCAGGGGGCAGAGGTTGTCCATTTTGCAGTCACTAGTCCAAAACCTGCAGAGTTTAGGACTGCAGGCATCCCTTTGCAGACACCTGAACTGTGCTGATTTATTTAAATCGTTAATTCAAAGAAAAAAAAAGTGACCATGCAATTCTTTTTAAAACAACCATTAGGTCATGAGTACCCAGTAAAACAAGTCTGCCTGACTAAGTCCAAAAGCCTATGGGATGCCCTGTTAACCTTTGTTTGTCACGTGGTCCTTGGCAAGCCCTTAAAAGTACACCAACACCAAAGGACAGTCAAACGGGAAATAATGGATCAACTGTTCAGCACACTGTATTTTCTGCACAGTGGGAAAACGTCTACTGTTTGATTTTATTATCAGGGCGCCTGTGATTTGGAGACTATGGTGCTCAGATGGTGAATCTAGCTGTCTCCCACCTGTTCCCTTCCCTTCTTCCCCGCCTCTCCTTTTGCTAGTGTGCCTGGAAAGGATCGACCTTTCCCGTTCCTTTTAACATGAGCGCGCTGCGCTGACGCTGCTATGGCGCAGTGAGGAACCCTCCTGGCCATGACGTGTTCCGTTTCTGCTGTTAATCTCCACGGTTCTTTCTTCACTGACAGTTTTCTTTTTCTCTCTCTCTCTCTTCTCCCTTCGCCCACCCAACTCCCCTAACTTATTTCTGGTCCTAACCCTGCTCTCTTGCGTGCGCTGCCCCTCTGCTATCCCATGATGGACGCGCACTCGCGGCTGGGTTACCTTCTGCTTGGCAGGGCGTCGCCGCTGGCGTAAGTAGACCCGCAGTGTCCGTCTTGTCGTCTGTCTGGTTGCAGGATGGTGTGTGGGTCTGGTGGGGTGTGTTTGAGGACAGTGGTCAGCCCATGCGCTCTGTCCACCTTGTCCTTCACGCCCACCTGTCAGCCACCGACATCCTCTGCAGCCCGCGCAGGCAGATGCTTGTCTTTTGGAGTTCACCAGTGTCAATGTGGCTATGGAAGTCTAATCGTGGCACTCACAGTGCGCCCACCCCAGCCTAAGGCTTCATTACCGCCTTCTCCTTGCCATGCTTTGGTGAGGTTTTCCAGCCTTTCCTAGTTTCCCTAGGACAAGGCACATTTGGGGGATCAGAATGCACACTGGGCTATTATTCAGTGCCAGAAGGTGACAAAGTCAAAGGCTACTCTTTTAGGAAGCCAGTCCCCAGAGTCCACAAGAACCAAAGAGATCTGGTTGTGCCCAAAGGCTTCAGGAACCCTTAGGATCTATCCTATATGAGAAACAGCTTTCTGCAAGAAGAACAAGAACCCAGGCTTTTTCCTCTGCTTCTCATGCAGCTGTAAGCCCCTCCCTGTATAGACCCCGGGTAACCCGGCTCTCTAAGCTAGAGAAAGTCTTCAGAAAAGCAGGAGCAGGGACACCTCCCCCCCCCATCCCTTTTCTATCTCTGCTCCCCTAACTCACCCTGAGTCAAGCCCAAGGAACCAGTCCTGGGAAACTGGGACAATTCTATCCAGCGCCATGCAGAGAAAGTCGAAGGCTTGTGATCTGGGGGAGCCTGTCCCCGCTAGACAGCCCCCACTGGGCAGATGGAGCCAGGCAGGAGGGAGCGAGCTAGGGCCTGCCTCAGTCTGTGTCTTCTGTGGTTGGAGCATCTCATCCAAGCTGTGTAGTCCCCGGGAGGCAGATGAGGCCTTTGAGCTTCCTGACCGTAGAACACCTGACAGAAAGGGCAAACCGGATGTGGTGGCACATGATCTCAGTCCTCAGGGGACCGGGGCAAGGGCAGCAACATAGCAAGACTCTGCTTCCAAATAAATAAATAAATAAAAGTGAAGCGAAGACTAGCAATAGCAAAGGGGGACAAAAAGGACACTGGACCGGGGCCTGAGCCACCTGCATCATCGTCCAGTGGTGCCCCCGTCTACTACAGTCTGGCACTAATCAGCTGACCTCTCTGGACCTCAGTTTCAACCTCTATGGAGGAAAGGACTAGCTGGCACGCTCCTACTACCATAGGCCTGGCCTCTGACATCTGAGAGGGTTTCTGGCAGAGTCACAATCTAATCCATAAAACTTCAGTCAGGTGGAAATTCCAAAGCCTGAGAAGCTCTGGGGTCCCTGCTGACTTTGATCTGGAGTTGAATAACTCATTCAGCTAAGAATTTTGGTCACCTATCGTATATATGTCAGACCCTGGGAGCTTAAGGGAATATCACCAGGTTCCCCTCAAAAGACTATGCTGCTTGGGTGCAGGGGCCATGCCTGCAGTGTCCTGTGTCCCCCAGCCCCAACCCCCACTGTCCGTGCGGATCATGCCAGTAACCGAGCAAAATTTCCCACTTCGTTTCTCGTAACACTTCGTAGCCAGGCTGTCTCCGGCAGCCGAGCCAGAAACCCCAGGCGTCTTCCAGCAGCAAGGCATTGGCAGCTCCCTAGCTGGATCTGCGGGTGTGAGGAGGCCACTGGATGGGTCCTGAACCTCCAGGTCCCTCAGGCAGGCCGTTTTCACCCTGCCCCATGCAGGCAGAGCTGGCTCAGGGAAGCCAAAATCAGTTCAAGTAGAACTACCTCCTCCTTCCCTAAAGGGACTCCAGGCTGTGGGGTGGGAACTTGTTCAGGCCCAAGATTAGCACTGGAATGGGGCCAATGGGAAGGATAGAAACCTCATGGGCAAGAAGATCCACTGTCCTGCTGGGCCTTCCCTGACCCCTGAACCCCTGAGCACCGAAACCCTAGGCTTCTTAGCTCTTCTGGTACTAGAGGGTGAAAATAGTGGGCACAGATATGGGGGCAGAGGGACGCAGTGGTAGAACTAAGTGGTGGAGGGGGGTCTGAGTTCCAGCCTGGCCCCCACCCACACCCCTTCTGCCCTACAGGAGCCTCCCCGTGAAAGACTTGGCCGTGGATAGTGCCTCTCCTGTGTACCAGGCTGTGATCAAAAACCAAAGCAAGCCGGAAGAGGAGGCTGATGAGTGGGCCCGCCGGTCCTCCAACCTGCAGTCTCGCTCCTTCCGCATCCTGGCCCAGATGACAGGGACAGAATACAGTGAGTAGAATCGCTGAAGTGGCATGGGGGGTGGGGGGGTAAGACAGAAGGGTCCTGGCTCAGTCTTAAAACCGATAGAAGCTGAGGAGTCAAGCCACTTGCCCTTGATGATTAACCAACATTGATAGAAAGTTGGCAACTGGGAGAGAGCCTCTGGGTCCCGGCTGGGCCTTCCATTCTAACCCCTAACATGAGCAGAAGGCTTGTCATCCGGTTTCCAGCAAGGCGATGGCTTATGATTGAGAGAAGAGGACCTGCAGGCCTTCTTGGACCACCCCCTCCCTACTGCAGAGTATCCTCTCAGCTCCCCCTGACAGAAGCCTGGCATGCACACACTCACTGCCACCACTGAGAAGATGGTACAGGAAGTGTCCAGGGCCTGGCTGATTCCTAGAGTGTCCTCAAAACTCTAGTGGAAGCCGGGCGGTGGTGGCGCACGCCTTTAATCCCAGCACTTGGGAGGCAGAGGCAGGCGGATCTCTGTGAGTTCGAGACCAGCCTGGTCTACAAGAGCTAGTTCCAGGACAGGCTCCAAAACCACAGAGAAACCCTGTCTCGAAAAACAAAAAAAAAAAAAAAAAAAAAAAAAAAAAAAAAAAAAAACCTCTAGTGGATTCTCTTCCTCTGCTCCACATGAGTCCTCCTGACCAACTTCTTTCTCCCACAGTGCAAGACCCTGACGAGGAAGCTCTGCGAAGATCAAGGTAGGTGCCTAGACTTGGGTTCCATGGCCTTGCCTACTAACCTCATCCCTCCCCAGGTAGCCCCCAGGCCCCATGACTCATGGAAAGAACCTTTCATGTTTATGTATTTGAAAAGCTCGGCCCTTAAAGGGCTCCAGCGGATGCGGACTTGGGTGACTTTCCCAGGTCAGTGAGGTAGACACAGGAGTGAGGAATCTAGGCTCTCTCCTGGCTCCCTTCCTGGGCAGGGGCAGGGCTGCTTTGGCCTTTGCTGGGCTTCGGAGAACTGTGAGGGCAGTGAGCCAATGCCTCGCCTGCACACTCATCTGTGGGCTTGCCCCTCGTGAGTCTGAAGGCTCGGCACTGTGAGCAGGCACGCAGAGGGCCATGCTAGGCATGAATACCTGACCCCTAGATTCACCAGCCCACGCATACACTGAGGCACCAGTTCTAAACATTGCTCCAAGTGTAACAGCTGCTGCAGGGAAGTACAAGCCCTTGGCACAAGGAAGGACTTGTATAGGGCTAGGCATCTCAGGGCAAGGTCTCCTGATCAGTGGCAAGTTTGGGGTCCCCATTACTTGCCTACTACCTGTGCCCTGTTAGGAGCTGTAGCCCTGGGCATGAGTGGGGCATGGCTGTTTTGAAACCCACTGGAAGCTGTCAGGGCCTTCCATGGCGAGGCATGGGGCCTGTGTGATGATCTGTCTCTTTCTGGTAGTGGGTATGCCATCTGCATGTTCTTCTTGGACAGTCTGTCTGGGGCCAGCGAGTCTCCGGGAGGGTCTGGGACTCAAAGGCATGTTCTACCCCGAGCCAAGCTTTCTGTACTTGCTAACCACACACAGTGGCCACAAGAACTTGAGAAGTGTAAGGTTCTGGGGGCCAGCTGGGACTTCATGTGCATTTGATTGTTGAACTTGTGTTTCTGCCAGCCCGAGCTGCTCCCACTCTTTGACCGGGCGTGGGCTCCTCCCAACGCTGCCACGGGTGGCATGCAGTCCCGGAAACGTGTTTAACCTCTTAGCCCCTTTGTGTATCATACACCCAGTACAACGCTGCTGTGTTCATCTCTGGTGGAGAGCCGGTTGTTTTCGTGTGGCTGAGCTCTTGACTCTCCATTCCGCCTGGGCTCTGCGGTCCCTACTTGCTATGTCTGTGCTTTCTCCGCCTTATTCATTGAAGCCACCCACATAGATGTCCTGGGGAGCAATGCGGACTTTCCCCCAAGACTCAATAGAGGGGTCTTTATGTCACCTCCCTGGCACAGTAAGCGCCTGACTACCCAAGTTCTTTCCATCGGGAAGTCAGCTGGAGACCTTTCTCTCCCTTCTACAAGACACAGCAGTCTTCTTTCATGGCCTTGCCACCTTTTCTGGTCACTCTATCTTCTTCTGTCCAATATGCCTATGACTCCTGCAAGCTTGTGTCTTGTCGTCAGCCGTCCGTGATTAGAAGGAAAGGGGCCCCAGGAGAAGGAGCGCCAGCCTGCTCTCTGTTCTGAAACATTAGCAGGCGCTACCAGAGAGTTTGCTCAGACAAAAATTTGGCAAGAGGTTCCAAAAAGAGACTTCAGCCTACTTTGTTCCTCAGGCTCAGTCCATCCCTCCCAGGGTTCCAGGCCCTTCAGGGAAGACTGAGGTTCCAGCCAACTTTCCCCAGAACCAGAAGGTGCAAGCCTCTTGATTCTGTCTCTTTTTTCCTGACTTTAATTTGTTGAGGGTTGTCCTCACTGGTAGAATCTTCCATGTCTCCAAATCCCATCTCTCTGGAGCTCTGGGACAGAGCTGTGCGTGTCCTTGATCCTCTCTGCTCAAGAGCAAAGTGCCAAGTTCAGTCTGCAGCCCCTGGGGTCCCAGGATCACTCACCAAGTGGCCATGTGAGCAGAAGAAAGCATGTTTGCCCCTCATATGCTGCCTCCAGACAGCTCAGGGGACTCGCTTCCCCGCGGTCAGAACCACACCCTGACTCCAGAGCTGGAGGCTGCACCCTCAGGCCTGCTGATCCATCCTGTGGGCTGATGACAGCTACCACCCTGCTCGCTTCTCCTCCCACATTGGCCCCTAGGATTCTGGCATGCTGGCAAGTCTGAAAGCCACAGATAGAGACACTGGGGCGTCCAAGCACCACAGTCTAAGCAGACCCGGGAGGCCTCCTTCCTATCTTTTGCTCTCCCCTCTTTCTCTCTCCTCTGCATTCCTCTTCTCGTCTTTTCTTTGGCTAGCCAGGAATCTCCCCACAGTGACAAACTGAGTAGGTTCACTAGATTCATAAAGGTTCTAGAATTGTCCTTCACTTTGTCATTGAACACTGATGACAAACTGTCGTTAAGCCTCAGTGGGCTTTGCTTAAACTGGGAATTGAACCGGCAACCGGCCAGGTCTCATTTTGGGCCTCCGTTGTCTCTAGGAGACGGCTGTGAATGCTGGCAGTGCCATGTGAGCCTTGCCACACGGCCTGTGCTTGTACTTCTTTCACCCACTCACCCTGACCCTAGAGAGGCAGCTCTGCGGCAGGGGGAAAGGCTCAGCACTCAGACGAAAGTTTTGCTGTTGAATATCCCTGTGGTTTAGGACTACTCGTGTGGACCTCTCTGAGTCTCTTGGTATGACACAGAGGTTGGATCAGACCGGTGTTTTACAACCATGTTAGCACCTAGCAGCCCCACCTTTGTGCAACAATGTTATAGAACTCCAGTAGCTGGATTCAAGGAGTAGAGTGCGCACATGCCAGGTCGCATGGATGGGAAGTGGGCCTCTGTGAACATGGCGTTCGATGTGGGGATGCAAGGACCAGGGCCTGGTGATCGTGACTCTGTGTAACTGTAGGATCAGCTGTGCCTAATGTCGGTCTCTCTGACTCCTGCATGCTGCCAGTTCGTTTTGAAACAGGACTTCATTTTGAGGCAGTTTCCAATGGACTTGCATTGTAAGAAATGGCAGAGATGTGGTGGCACATGCCCTGGATCACTGAGCTTGGGAGGCAGAGGCAGGTGGATCTCTGAGCTTGAGGCCAGCCTGGTCTACAGAGCAAGTGCCAGGATAGCCAGGGCTGTAACACAGAGAAACCCCGCCTAAAACAGAAAACAAAAATAAAAACAAACAACAAAAGAGAGAGAGAGACTCCTTATGCCTTCCCCACTTTCATTTCTACTGACAAAGTCTTACATCATAGCACAACACAGTGATAATTAATGATGACATCACTTCAGCTCCAAACACAGACTGTCCCACACCTAAGACTGTTCCCTATGTCTCTACACATTAACACACATATACACCCCCTTACCAGGGATGACCAATGGTACATGACCATTTTAGGGTTGGGTTTTTTCTATTAGCAGAATTCTTTTGGACTTTATCTAAGTTGTTGAGTGAACCAGTACAAATTCACACACATACGCATGCACGCATGCACACACACACGCATGCACATACACATGCACGTGCACATACACACACACTCATACCCTGATTCCAAAATCCAAAGCACCCCAAACCCAAAACTTTTCTGAGCACCATGAACATCAAAAGATGGAGAATTTTACCTTTGACCTCATGTCCAAACACAGATTCTAGGCCAGGTGTGGTGGTGCTTGGTATAATCTCAGCCTTTGGGAAGCAGAGGCAGGCTGATCTCTGTGAGTTTGAGGCTAGCTTGCCCTACATAGAGAGTTCCAGACCAGCTACACAGTAAGACCTTGTCTCAAAAAGAAAAACAGAAACAGTAGGCACAGAAGCTAGGCTGGGGTATAGCTTGGCAGGGAGCTTGGCTACCTGCACGAGACCCTGGGTTCAGTCTCCAGGGCTAGAACAGTGTTGGGAGCAAAACACGGCTCTCATTAAAAAAAAATTACATTTGAGTTGTGTGTAAGAAAATGTATATGCGATATAAATGAATTTTACGTCAGGTCCCCAAGATCTCTCCTTATATATGTGCAAATAGTCCCAAACCACTCAACATCCAAAACAGATCTGTCCCACGCATTTTGCATCAAGCTTATTCAGCCTGTCGTTCATTGCTCCTTTTCGCTGCTAAGTGGCACCCCACCATGGGGATAGAGCAGTGAGATTTAGATTTTGATTTTAACCTTAGGTAACTGTTCACAGTACTACCTCTGGATAACGCCAGCACTATGTCTCTTAAACTGTGTCTCAGTTCAGGTTGAGTTCACTGTGGCCTCTCCACTGCCCCTCTGCTATGGAGGTGTTACAGGCCCTTCTGCCAGGAGGGTTAAGACCCAGCAATGTTGGCTGGCCTTTCCCTGCCCCCCACCCCTCCCCTTTCTACATCCTAGCCCCAGGGTGCCTGCACTGCACCCTCACCTGGGCAACTGTGGGTAGGGCTTTCCAGAGACCCCACTGACAGGAAGTACAGATCCCTCTCCTTTGTTTCCCTGGCAGTGAGTGTGTGTGTGTGTGTGTGTGTGTGTGTGTGTGTGTGCTTGTGAACTGGGGTAGGCCTGGGCTGTTCTCAGGGTCTGGGCCTGTAGGAGCCCAGGGGAGCGTTTGAAGGCTTCATTCTGGGGATGGTGAAGGTGAGGAATGCCAGACAGTTTAGGGAGGGATGTGACAGGTCTACCCATCGGTCTAATCACGGGAGTTATGTGTCCCTTCTCCTTGGTGCCCAGCTGGAGGACAGAGCCTGTTCCGGGCCTGCCTACCTGTTTGGTTTAGTTCTAAGAGCCCACAGCCAAAGCAGCTTTGCCCAGCCCTAGCCACATGGGCCAGGGAGCCAGCCTCCCTTTGCCCTCCCCGCCCATTGGTCCTCTAACCAGGCCCCTATTCCGTACCTCTCCCTCCAAGCAAGGCAGGGACTTCAGTCTCTCCGTTCCGCCCCAGAACTCTAGTCTTGCCCCATCCAACCCAAGCCTGCCCTCTGGAGAGTAAGTACCCCAAGGGCAGCACCGTCCCACCCTTTGTCCCAGCTTTGGGCAGGGAGGTAGTGGACATGTCCCCTAACCCCTCTCTTTCTCCCTTTCTTTCTCTTTCTGTTTCTGTCTCTGTTTCTGTCTCCCCCT